AATATCCATAATATATAAAGAACTCTCGCAACTCAACAACACATCAAACAACCCAATCAAAAAATGGGCTGGAGACATGAACAGACATTTCTCCAAAGAAGACATACTGATGGTCAATAGGCACATGAAAAGATGTTCATCATCGCTGATCATCAGGGAAATGCAAATCAAAACTACACTAAGATATCACCTTACACCCATTAGAATGACAAAAATATCTAAAACTAATAGTAACAAATGTTGGAGAGGTTGTGGAGAAAAAGGAACCCTCATACACTGCTGGTGGGAATGCAAACTGGTGCAGCCACTATGGAAAACAGTACGGAGATTCCTCAAAAAATTAAAAATAGAACTACCATATGATCCAGCCATCCCACTACTGGGTATCTAACCAAAGAGCTTGAAGTCAGCAATCCCAAAAGTCCTATGTACCCCAACGTTCACTGCAGCATTATTTACAATAGCCAAGACGTGGAAGCAACCTAAGTGCCCATCAACAGATGAATGGATAAAGAAGATGTGGTACATATATACAATGGAATACTACTCAGCTGCGAAACAGAACAAATTCATTCTATTTGCAATAACATGGATGGACCTTGAGGGAATTGTTAAGTGAAATAAGCCAGCTAGAGAAGGATAATCTGTGTATGACTCCACTCATATGAGGAATTTAAAAATGTGGACTAAGAACAGTTTAGTGGACACCATGGGAAAGGTGGGGTGGGGGCTGGGCACAAAGGGTGAAGTGGTGCACCTACAACACGACTGACAAACATTAATGTACAACTGAAATTTCACAAGATTGTAACCTATCATTAACTCATTTAGAAAAATAAAATAAAATAAAGCCATCATGGGCCCGCCTGTGGCCGAGTGGTTAAGTTCACGAGCTCTGCTTCGGTGGCCCAGGGTTTCGTGGGTTCGAATCCTGGCGCGGACGCGGCACCACTCATCAGGCCATGCTGAGGCGGTGTCCCACAAGCCACAACTAGAGCCACTCACAACTAAAATCTACAACTATGGGGGGGGCGGGAGCTGTTGGGAGAAAAAGGACAAATAAAATCTTGAAAAAAAAAAAATAGAGCCATCCATGGCTCTGGGGGATAACGATAAGCGGTTAAAATATTGGGTCTGGTTGAAACGCGCCAGGGAGGAAGAAGTGTTGATAATGATCCTATGAATGAAAGAGGGGAAGTGGCTTTGGGAGTGCGGGGAGGCATCTGGAAATTTACGGATTTACTGTCAGTCCCAGGAAGAGCAGCCTGTGGGGAAAGGACTGTGGATTGAGACGCTGCTCCCCAAACATTTGGAAAACTATGGAGAAAACGGGTGCGCTCTGAGGAGAAAGGAGGCTCTGGGGACCCCACAACCAGAGCTCCTCCGCGCACGGAGCCCGGAGACCGAGGCCCGACTGTCCTGCGGGCCCTCCCGCGGGCCCCGCACCGTCTGGGACACGCGGGGCTGCGGCCGCACAGCGGCCCAGAGACGCTCCGGTCCAAGTCGCCGCGCGCAGGGACCACAGGACGCCCGGGGCCCGGCTGCCTGCCCCGCCCCCACGCTGCGGCCGGAGGGGCCTGAGGGCCGAGAGGCGCCACCGCGGACTCGGGGCCGCAGACTCCGGAGGGGACCGAGGGAGGCCGGGCCCCCTCCGCCGCTTCCCACCAGCCCCTCCTTCCGCGTCCTCACCCCGGGGCCGCACACTCACCATTCCTAGGGCTCCTGGGTCCCCTGAGTTCTTCCTACGACCCCCACGGCCACTGCAGGTCACAGGGTGACAGAAGCTGCAGCAGAGCCACCAGGACCCTTACGGCAGACAACAGCTCACGTGCAGCTCCGCAGCAGCCGGAAGCCACCTTAACAGGAAGTCCAGTGCATGGCCCCACCCACCTGCCCCAGAGGCTCCCCTGACTGGACAGTCCCAAACGCCCCGCCCCGTCATGCCAGAGTGGCAGCAGGTGGGAGGCTGAAGGGCTCAGCCAAACCCGCCTGGGCTGGCGGTTGGAACCAGACTCACTTGGCAGGTTTGCGTTTAACCAGAACTTTTTCCTGGCCTGGGGCTGCCTCTATGGTTTCCACCCAGCTCTTTGTGAACTCGTGGGTGCAGGTGTGCAGGGGGAAGTACTGACTGAGTTTCAAACGGCTCAAGTACAGACTGATGCAGGCTCGGCGAGCAGAGGAGTCCATAGAAAGATTTCTTGGACTCTGAAGGTCTAGCAGTAGTGCTCTTTTATTCCGAGCATAGTATGGAATAGGAGGAGAACAGAACCCATGGGCAGTAAAGAGCTGCTGCCTGGGGACAGGACTCATGGGCAGGAAAAGCTGCTGCAGTGTGTTGAGGGTTAGAGCTAAACTTAAGGCATAGGTATGTGAATTATCTCTTTACAAGACGAAGGAAAGAATATGTTTAAAAAGTCGTTAAAATGGTGTCAGTACAGGTGGGGTCTGGTTATTGGGTGGTCCTATAACTTTAGATAAGAATCAGACTGGATGAAGTCAGGATGTCCTGTGCTTCCTGGAGGATGTTGGTGGTGGGGGGAGTCAGCTACATGAAGTTACTAGACAAGAACAATAAACAACACTTAAGTCCTTGCCATCCCCATTAAAAGTTTCTAGAGATAAGATCATCCCCCTTCCTCCTGGTGCAGAGAGGGAGACACCCCCACAGATGGAGACTTCCTTCAAAAATGCAAATGTCTCTCAACAAAGGGCAAGCAAATTCCACTCCTCAGAGCCTCCTTCCCGCCTGCAGTTTTTTAAAAAGTAACCAGCCTAAAATCATCATCATAACCCCCCCGAACCCTTTGGCCCTGAAATCTGTTGGGGGTATGGACAATGGTCAGTGTTCTGTAACTACTTCAGGCTGTATAAGGTCGTAGAGCTGTCCCTAAAAGGGGCCATAGGTACAGGTAGGAAGTTCAGAGGACTGGAAGGTTAGGCCACAGAGTTCAAGGCTGACAAGGTACACGGATCCTCTGGAGATGAGAGAATCAGTTGACGAGAGGTGGTCCAGGAGGTGAAACTTTGTTGACATGCAGAACACAAGCAACGAAATAAACAGCAAATTATAATAAGAAAGACAAGCAATATGATTAACCCAATGAATAAGGTTTTGATAGTAGTCCCGAAACCTGGTCCTGACCAGGAGTTCAACCAATCATTTAGAGATAGGGTAGGGTCAGACATGGATTTAATTTGGTGGCTCATATCAGACAGGAAGCCAGAGATATTTTGATGGTAGTCAGAAATATAGACACAACAGTCCGTTTTTATAATGGTACAAGCATGCCCCTGTGCTGCTGTCAAGACATCCATTGCCATTTGGTTTTGGAGGACTGTCTTACGCAATTGGGAAACTTCTAAATCGAGCAGCGAAAGGCTATGTCATGTATCATTTAATGCCTTCATAGTAAATTTGTTTAGACCTTCCATGTGCCAGATAATACTTTTGATTCCTAATTGGGGAAGGAAAATTGAGGCAAGGTGGTCATATCAGTGGAAGACAGAGCGGGTCCAGCGTTGTTGCAGGTTGGATAGGTTAGCAGGAGGAGATATAGTAAATGTAGTTCTATCTTGCATCCAGACGAAGCCTAGGGTGCATCATCCAGTCCATCCAGGTGGCAGCCAAGGCCATAAGTTGGAGCCACATAACCACTGAGTGCCATTAGGGGCTAACCAACGTACGCTGGGCCGCCTATCCCAGTCAGTCCCAAACCAACCAGTACTTTTTAAGGCTATGATATGAGAACACATATAACGGGGAATTTTCCCCATAGGTTGGGTGCTATTAGGCCACGTGTCACAGGTGTGATTGGTTTGTTCCCAACATGGAGTGGCCTTTTGACTGAGTTGACCACTAGAAGGAGTGAGCCAAATATATTCGTCCCAAATTTGATATAGTCCGTCCTGTGCGTATCGATAGGTTGGGGACGTTACCTTTGGAACTTCTTGTTTATGATCACCTGTGGCACAGCAAATCTAGTTAGTATTTGGGCAGCAGTGCTGAAGGTTTGATTGTAGCCGGGGAACTCCCAGATGTCAGAGACAGATGGCCACAAGGAGACATTATGATTAGTAATAGATGAAACTTGTAAAAGAGAAGAGCTAGAAATGTATTGCATAGTGAAGAGAAGCATTGCACGCCAATCAGTACCCTGGAGGGGAAAGACCCACCAGGAGAGGGCAGAAGTACTAGACAGAGGCAAGAGTCCACAAACCCAACACGTGGTTTGGTTACGGAGCTCAGCATAATGTTGAGCCCATTTTTAAAAAGAATTGTTTGTCATTACAAAAGGAGATAAGAGGAAAATAATCAAGATAGGGTTCATTTTGTTCTAAAAAGTAGTTTTAAATCACTGGTTTGTTCACAAGAGTGGTCCGGTTGAACAGCAGGATCTGGATCAGCTTTGTCCTGAATACAAGTCATAAGTTTTATTCGGGAAATATGTGTCCAAGAAGTACGATCTTTTAATATTATAGCTGTGGGGCTACTTAGAATGACTTGATAAGGTCCTTTCCATTTTGGGCTTAACCCATCGGAATGTGTTTTCCAATCTTTTCAATATACCATCTCTCCAGGATTTACCTGGCAAGGTATATTGGCAGACAATCGTTCCGGCTTAGGTAAATGATTATTAACATAGTCACTTAGTTCCTTTCGTATTAGACCAGCCTCAGTGCAATATCGACATAGTTGGTGGTAATCAGAGTCCAATACTATATCGGTGGATAGAAAGGGCCTTCCATACAGGCTTTCATAAGGGCTTAACCCTAAACTGTTCTTAGGGGCATTCTCATCCATAGGAGGCCAACAGGTAAGAGTGTAATCCTAGTTTCCTGAGTCTCGAGACTTAAGTTGGAGAGATGTCGGTTTAGACTATGGTTTGCCTTCTCCACTTTCCCAGAGGATTGTGGATGCCAAGCTGAATGCAAATAGTATTTAATTTGTAAAGCTGAAGAGACCTGTGGTGTTATTTGAGCTATGAAAGATGGACCATTACCACTCTGTAAGGTCTTGGGCAAGCCAAAGCATGGGATAATCTCCCTTAAAAGGGCCTTTGTTACTTCGATTGCAGGTTCACTTCGACAAGGGAAGGCCTCAGTCCAGCCTGTAAAGGTATCGACAAACACCGAAAGATATTTATAGCCATGACATGGAGACATTTGGGTAAAATCCAGTTGCCAATCTTCCCCGGGAGAGGTGCCCCATCGTTGTATAGGCCCTAACAGAGGAGGTGGTTTAGCTGTCCCCTCTGGATTTACTTGAGCACAAGTGGCACAAGAGCGGCAGATCTGTCTAATGGTGGCATGGAAAGTATGGCCATCGAAGGATTCAGAAAGTAGCTGAGTCAATGATTGTTTGCCAAAACGGGTAGCCTGATGAATTCCATTAAATAATTTCCATTGAAGGCTTTTACATATGAAAATTTTTCCCTGGTCATTAATTAGCCAAGACTATTTTGTTTCCTGGGTATATCGCTTTTCTTGAGCCAGGGTTATTTCTTGAGTTGTATAAGTAGGACTAATAAGGCCCAAAGCAGGGGGAGTGGGGAGTAAGCTTAAAAGATTACTTTGTTTAGCCGTCTGTTTAGCTTCCCGGTCAGCAAAGTTATTATCCATGCTCTCAAGGGATAAATCCTTCCGACGTCCCTGGCAATGGACCACAGCCACTTGCTTTGGAAGAAGCACAGAGTTTTAAAAGAGCCGAAATCTCTCCTCCATGTTTGATAGGGGATTTCTTTGTATTGAGTAAACCCCTTTCCTTCCATATGACCCCATGTGCATGTAGGACCAAGAAGACATATTTTGAGTCAGTGTAAATATTAATAACCATATCCTTCGCCAGGTGAAGGGCTCGGGTAAGAGCGATGAGTTCAGCCTTTTGAGCAGACGTATTGGCTGGAAGGGCTTCTGCCTCAACAACGTGCAAGGCGTTTACTATGGTGTAGCCTGCCTTGTGTATGCCCTGTTCTGTGAAGCTACTACCATCTACAAACCAGGTGTCATCCGCATTACCTATGGGTGAGTCCAGCAGTCAGACCTGCTAGAGTACCCTTGTTCTATGATTTCAGAGCATGTGTGCTCCAAATTCTGAACTGGGTAGTCAGGACTGGGCATAAGGTCTGAAGGATTAATTGTTAGACACAGCTTAAGGATGATCTCAGGGGCGTCTAGGAGGATGGCCTGATATTTAGTTAGATGTCCTCCAGTCATCCATTGATGTCCCTTAGTTTGTAACACGGCTTGTACCTGATGGGGAGTCATGACAGTTAAAGGTTGTCCCATAGTTAATTTAGAGACCTCCTCAACTAATAGAGCTGTAGCTGCTATAGCCTTTGAGCAGGCTGGCCATCCCAAAGCCTCCGAGTCTAGAGTCTTTGAGAAATATCCAACAATTCGGGTCTCTGGGCCTAGTCTTTGGGTTGAGGGTACCAAGGGCCTGGCCCTGCTTTTCGGTAACATGAAGAGTAAAAGGCTTGTTGCCGTTAGGCAGAGCCAGGGCTGGGGCGGAAGACAATCGCTGTTGAATCAACCGAAAGGCCTTATCTTCTTTTTGTGTCCACTCCAGAGGTTCCGTATCAGGTCCTCTGGTTGCTTCATTTAAAGGCTTTGCTGTTACCCCAAACTGAGGAAGCCGTAAACGACAGAATCCTGCCGTACCAAGGAAAGTGGGAAGTTGTCTTTTTGTCTTTGGTGGTCCAAGTTCGAGGACAGTCTTTTTCGTATTTATAAAAAGTGCCCGGTATCCTGGGGTTAAATCATAGCCCAAATAGGACACCTGCTGTTGTGAAATTTGTGCCTTTTTTGGGGACACCCGATATCCCTGTTGGGCTAAGAAATTAAGGACAAGGACAGTATTGTGATCAGAATTCTCCTTTGGGGGACTACAAATAAGAATATCATCAACATATTGTATTAAACCACCAAGAGGGAGCTGGACATCTCGCAGATCCTTGCCTAGGGCACTTCCAAACAAATGGGGGCTATCCTGAAAACCTTGCAGGAGGATGGTCCATGTCACTGGATAGGAAGAGCTTCACTAGGAAACATCCATTCAAAGGCGAATAAAGGCAGGGAAGTGTCATCCAAAGGAATACAAAAGAAAGCATCCTTTAAGTCCAGGACTCTGAACCAATTACAGTTTTCTGGGATCTGGGAAAGTGTAGTATCTGGCTTAGGCACGATGGGGTGGATAGGAACAGTGGCCTCATCACTTATGCGGAGGTCCTGGATCAAAGGATAATCTCCATTTGGCTTCTTTACAGGCAAGATAGGAGTATTATAGGGAGATTGACATCACTTAAGGAGGCCCTGAGTGAGGAATTTTAGTAAAAGGGGTTGTAATCCTTCAATTGCCTCTGGTGTTAAAGGGTATTGCTTCTTCTGGGGTACAAGAGTAGAGTCCCGCAGGGTAATAGAGACTGGCTGTGCTGTTACAGCTCTTCCTGGAAGGGAGCAGTCCCAAACCTGGGGATCAACTGCTTCCCATATATGGGGTGGAATATCAGAGGGTATCTGGGAAACAACAGAGCTTGGAGAGAGAGCCACAAACAAGCCGTCCTCCTCACGTGTTAGAATAAATTAGCTTCCTAATTTTTTCATTGTCATCCTAATAATAGAGTGGGACAAGAAGGTAGGACTAGGAAACTACGGGAAAACACCTGAGTCCGATATTGGCAAGATAAAGGAAGAGTTTGGTAACAAAACTTAGAGTGGCCCTCTATTCCGACAATTTTTTGATGGGACTTACGAGTTGGGCCAGAGTGGCAAACAAGTACAGAGTAAGTGGCTCCCCTCTCAATAAGAAAATTGATTTGCTTACCTTCCACATCCAGAGTCACCCGTGGCTCAGTCTGTTCAGTGGTGATGGGAGCCGGACTGGCCTCTGGGCCCCTTCAGGCGGAGTCCTCAGGATCACATCTCCGGGCAGGGAAGTGTGTTCTTCGCCCCTCCTCACTCTGGAGGCGAGGACAATCACGCTTCCAACGTCCCTCTCGCTTGCAGAGAGGACAAGGCCCAGGAGGAAGATCATTTCTTGGGCACTTTTTGCTCCAGGGTCCACATTGACGGCAACAGTAACAAGGGACTCACCTGGGCCTCCGGCATTGGTAGTTTGAGACCTGGGCCCCTGGTTAGCCTGTTTCTGTGGCCTATGCACAATGGGGGCTGCTGAAAATGTGAGCCTGTGCCTTACCCTGTAACTTTGCCCTTCTGTCCTTATCCTGTTTAAGAGTCAAGTCCCGATCATTGAACCCCTGAGTAGCAACCTCCAGAAATCTCTGTACAGGTGTTTGGAGACCCAAGGCCAATTTAGCCAATTTTCGGCGTATGTCTGGGGCAGATTGACTCATGAAGTGCATGTTTAGAATAGTAATCCCTTCTGGAGAAGTAGGGTCTAGATTAGTGTATTTTTGAATAGCTTCAGCTAATCTCCCTTGAGAAAGGGCAGGGTTTTCATCTGTTCCCTGAGTTATTTCCTGGAGTCTGTCAAAATTGACGGGCTTTGTAAATCCCTTCTTTATTCCCTCTGTTAAACAAGTAACCATGTGATTCCGTTGTCCTCGATCTTCTTCATTCCTATGATCCCATTTCTGTCTGTATCTGGCGCCACACTGCCTCCTACTGGATATTTATGTCTGTCTCTAGTATGTAATTCGTCTGCAAATTCATGTGCTCCCGCCCAAAGACGATTTCTTTCATCTGTAGTGCAGCAACGAGTAAGAATAATATAAATATCCTGCCAGCTCAATTCAAACATCATAATGAGCTTTTGAAAGCCATCAATAAATTGGGAAGGATTTTCTGAATATCTACCCAGTTGTGTCTTAAGTTGAGCCGTATCAGACACTGAAAATGGCACATGGACTCGAATGGTCCCCATTTCCCCATTTGCTACGTCGTGGAGAGGGAAATGTCCAGGATTATAAGAGGTCCCACTCCTCGTATGACCTGCAGCACTTATGGGGATTGAGGACTCAATTTTAGCTTCCTTCTCACAGGGAGGGGGTATTTTGGTCTTTGAGTCCTCGGGAGAGGTTAATTGGGCAGGAGCTCCAGGGGCCTTAGGAAGAGGTCTAACAAGGCAGTCATCATCTAATATATCAGGGGCAGGTTTTTCTACTTTAGTTGGGGAAGCTAGACACATGCGACAAACTGCTCTGAGTTCAGGATCTTGACGTAGGGCCATTAATGCTTGAATATAAGGGATTTCAGACAATTTTCCCAGGCGGCAGCAAAATAAGTCTAGTTGAAAAATAGTATTAAAATTTAGGGTGCCATTCATGGGCCATTTTTCCTCATTCAGGTTATATTGAGGCCAAACAGTATTACAGTAAAAGATAAGTGTCTTTTTCTTGAGATCTTGTAGATCAAATTTTGCACAGTTATTTAAAAGGCAACCCAAAGGTGAATCCTTAAGAATGGAATTAGAAGCTCCCATGGTCTTAAGAAGCAAAAAGACAAAAGAAGAGAGATGAAAGAAAAGAGTCCATTACCTTTAAAATCCCCCCTCAACCTAGGCCAGCATCCTACCCGTCGTTCATCCTGTGGGGTTCCTACAGCAAGGAGTGTTGGGGGCATCCCCTGGCACTGCATCCATTGTATACCTTCCGTTATTATGCCTGGCAGTAATAGGTGCCTGGTGAATGGTACCCACGATAAAAGAAGTTTAAGAGAGATAAAAGAAAAGGATCCATTACCTTGAAAATCCCCCCTGTTGGGGTTCCTATGGCAAGGAATGATGAGGGCATCCCCCTGCATTGCATCCCTTGTATATCATCCCTATTATGCTTGGCAGTAATAGGTGCCTGGTGAATGGTTCCTGAGATAAAAGGATAGAGAAAAAACAGAGAAGTTTTCCGCTGGCCTGGGGGACATTCTACCCAATTGCATCCTGGAGCCATTCTCCCAAGAATGGGTTCCCATACTCAACCAAAGGTTAGAGTTTGGTACTTTCCTTGAACTGGAGTCCCAGTTGGGACTTTCTCTTGGTTCGGAGTGTGGTCAGGAGCCATCGGGAGGGATGCCAATCCGGCCTTGGGAAAAGAAACCTGCCATGGAGTCTTGGAGATTGGCGACCATCCTAATGACTTAAGTGGTCGACCCGCCCCCATGTAAAATTTATATATTAGAGATAGGATTAGGAAGGAATGGATTAATTCATTCTACATCACCCTCAGCCTTAAGGTACTGATTCCCTTCAAGCTGAATGCCATGATTTGCCCCATAGAGTAGCCGTGGGCAGCAAAGTGGATTCATACAGCTGTTCAAGAAAGTTCCTGATGGAGAAGTGAATTTAGATCCATCCTTGAAAAAGAGAGGATGGCACAAGGAAAAAAGGGCACTTACCAGAACTTGAGCTCACAAGCCAATGAAGCAAGACCCCCATACGGGGCACCAGAAATGATGCAGGCTGGGGAGGCAAGGAGTCGAAAGAAAGATTTCTTGGACTCTCAAGGTCTGGCAGTAGTACTGTTTTATTCAGGGAATAGTATGGAATAGCATGGGGACAGGACCCATGGGCAGGAAGAGCTGCTGCAGTGTGTTGAGGGTTAGAGCTAAACTTAAGGCATAGGTATGTGAGTTATCTCTTTACAAGACAAAGGAAAGAATATGTAAAAAGAGTTGTTAAAATGGTCTCAGTGCAGGTGGGGTCTGGTTATAGGGTGGTCCTATAACTCTAGATAACAATCAGGCCGGATTAAGTCACAATGTCCTATGCTTCCAGGAGGATTTTGGTGGTGGGGCGGGGGGGAGTCAGCTACATGAGGTTACCAGACCAGCACTGTAAACAAGACTTAAGTCCTTGCCATCCCCATTAAGAGTCTCTAGAGATAAGATCATCCCC